CAATTATTGTTTTTAATGAAGGATAGGATTTTATTAAACTTTGACAGTAGTAGTAATCTTTTTAATGCAGGAAGCTGATAAGTTGCGAAAGAGAAAACAAGAAAGCGAAGAAACGAATCAAGAATTAAGGCTAGCGAGGGAGCAGTTACAAACCACGGTTAGTTCAATGCATTGAAATGGGTCTGCTGTTGCGTTTTTGACTGATTGATGGGTGGATTGATTTCTTATTAAATTGATTGATTAATTGAATGATTGGATGATTGATTAATTGATTGGATGATTGATTGACTGATTGATTGATTAATTGATTGACTGAATGATTGGATGATTGATTGAATGATTGGATGATTGATTGACTGTTTGATCGATCGATCGATCGAATGCTTAATTGGTTGATTGATCGATCGATTGATTGGCTGATTGATTGATTGACAGCACGCAGAACTGATTGAAGCTCGAAGAGATCTCTTGAAATACCAATCAAGAGAACAAGAACTCATTCACGAGCTGGACGATGCACACACTCTATTAAACGCAAAAGAACACGACTGCACTCGCCTTGCAAAGGATCTTGGGGCATCTCAAGTGCGCGAGGCTGAAGCGGAAGCACGATGTGTTCAGGAAATGAGAAAGACGCAGCAACAACACGAAATTAAGCAGGTTTCTCAAGAGCATGAGGTAATTAAATTACTGCGTTTTCGGGTTTTTTAGTTTCATTGTCAAWTCTTTCTTTTCCCGTTTTCTTTTCTTTCTCCATTTCTTCTCTTTCTGTCTATCAAAGCGTTCTTAGACWCAATTCACGGTATTCCTTTTTCGTGTGACTTCCAGTTAAAACGACTRCAAGAAAGCCATGCYAAGTTATTATCCCAAAGAGAAGAACTACAAGCAGAGAAAAACTTAGCCATCAATAAACTCAAAGACACAAACCAACAGCTWACTCGCGAACTGGCGGATTACAAAGACGCTAACTCGCACCTGTCACAAGAGACCAAGCAACTAACGAACCAACTGACTGGCTACCAGGACGAACTGAAGAGTGTCAATGAAAGTATGGTGATCAAAGAAGCCGAGGTAAAGATAGTTTAGTTTATGTATACCTGGGACTTTTTCAAAAAGATTGGTAGTGAGAATAAGGAATGCATGACCGAAAGGTATTGTGGGCATGGTCCTCTAACCTTATGACGTCATTGTTTTGTCGAAGTGCATTATGGTATTGATAAATGCATCAAGATGGCGAATGATAACATACGGAAAACCAAGTTTTTATTCGAAATTAGCGTTGTCCGTTGTCGATGATCTTTTATCACATTTTAAAGGTTTTCAGTCTTTTAATGAGAAGTGTTTTGAAAAGGAGCCTGCGTTTCCGAAGATCTTGGCGGTTTTTGGGGCTGCGAAATTTCCCCTTCAACCGCAGGTGACGCAGGCTAAAAAAATCATGCGACCTTGTAGCGCTCAGTAAACTATCCTCATTATGTCTCAATAGATCACAAGACTGGAGGCTAGAATATCAGGCTACGAACGGGCTATGTTCGGCACCCGGCAACACTTCGATCGCCTTGGTGCTAATTCCCCTCGGCCATCACCTGCATTAAGAGCGCATGTCCGACACGTGACCTCGCCACGTGCAYTGACCGACTTAAAGAAGAGCTCATCTGATCACAACYTGCACAACCTATCAGAAAGCTCGGCCTATAGTATCCTAGATACAGATGACTTCATCCATTCTCTAGACCACGTGATTGAACGGGGAAGATCCCACACTCCTTTGGAAGTCCCCTCGCTATTGACCAGAAGACAGGACTTGTCTTCGACTAAGACTAGCCAGACGGCAGCCAAATACGAAAAAGATAATTTGGATGCGGTACCTGAGTCAGATCTTGACCCCAGTCAATGGTAAATATACGCTGTACTATGGAGCAAACGCTGGAAAACTATGAAATAAAATCAAACTAAATACTAACAAATAGCGGTATCAATGAAATGTCAGTATCAATGAACCAGATAGCAATCAAGATGAATGAAAAATGGTCCCATGTGGATTAATCTTCATTATGTTCTGGTTCATTGATACTGACAAATTGTCTCCAAATAGCCTCTATTTGTTAGTATTTAGTTTGATTTTATTTCAGGTTTTCCTGCGTTTGCCCTAAAAAAACGCTTTTTGGGAAAGTTTGTCATCTATTAAGTCTTCAAACTAGCGGCGCAGGGTACCATGGCCACTGTACTTTGTAGAATAAAATTGCCATGCCACTACAGCAAATAGTCATAAGCAACTCTCGTCATCAAATTGTGTCTTTTGTCTTACAAGCCGCCCATATTTCTTGCGCCACTATCTTGTAGGGCTACTTGAGCGACAAAATCTCTCGAAATAAGTGCACATTACTACAAAGAACGAATATAAACGAATTATCGTATTCTATTTTTTGTAGTCGTGCAAGTCTAAAGGAAAAATTACGAGCCAGCGAAGAACGACGGAAACAAATCGACAAACAGCTCCACACCATGAAATCATCGATATCGTAGCTATTAACTATATACAGCAAATTGAAGAGATGTTGTCACAGTCGAAAGGTAGATTAAACTACACGTAGTGATGCATGGGATATCGGTAAAAGCACTTGAAATAGTCGGCTCTGTCTTGTTTTAACGACATCTAAGTGTTCTTTGTAAAGGGAATTATTTTCAATAACTTCGATATAGTAATGAAGTGTCTGTAATTCTGTTTGTCCTCAATCGAAGAATAGTTGACAATAGTTGAGTAGACAAAGAATGCCATTCAAATGAAGGCTATCTCCATTCCATCGCATCGTTTCAAACATATTTAGCGAAATATTTAATATTATGGTTTATCTTTTGAAAGTTGCAACATTTCTTCAGTTTTGTTTAACACTTAAGGAATAAAACACTAGCAAAAGTAACTTTATAAGAATGTTGACATATATATTTTGACATTCCCCTAAAGCATAGTTAATATGCCTAAAGCAAAGGTTCGATGTTAAATGTGAACAGAACCAAATGACAAAAAATGTTGATTATATACTCCTTCAGAAATCGCGCTTTGCGTTCAAAGGAAGATGAACTCCACTTCAACTTCAATGAACACTTTAAAAAACACAAATTATTGCAAATTATATATCTTATATGTA